GTGTGCAAGAATCCAAATGGAAATGAGTACATACTGTATAATTCCATTTATATGAAATTTTAGAAAATGCAAGCTAATATATATGACAGACAGCAGAGGAGTGGTTGCCTGAAGGGAAGGACTGACTGCAAAGGGACACAAGGAACCTTCAGGGGCAATGGACGTGTTCATTATCTTGGGTCAATGGTTCCCTTAGTATCTATCTATCCAAACTTACCAAATTGTATATTTTGAATATGTGCATATTATTGGATGTCAATTATACCTCAATAGAGCTATTTTTTTAAAGTAGTAGATACTGGAATGATTTTAGTGCTGCATTCTTAAAATATGCCCGTACATACAAAGTCGATTGATGATTCATAACAAAGTGGTAGGTGAACTCATTTAACAACAATTTTTTAGCACAATTTATTTGTTCTGGATACTGGAGTTCAAGTGCAAAAGTATTAAGTAGTCAGTGTGATCACCTTCTTCCCTTTTAAATAGGCTGCTTTGGTTTATGTGAATTCATTCCCTCACTCATTCAATAAATAATTCTTGAGCACCGACTAGTAACCAGCCCTCTTCCAATACACCATTTTGAAGTCTCTATTTCATGGAGCTTGCAATCTAGCAAGGAAGACAGATAATTAAAATGCAATGCTATAGATCTATACCCTTCATTGGAAATTATTTTGTGTACCCACCATGTGCCAAACAATGTATAGCAGAAGTTAGCAGGCAACTAGGTTGCCTGTCTTATGGAAATGTGAAGCCCAAGCTGAGAGATGGACATCAGAGAAGACACTATAATAAAGCACATTCCCTGAGCCTGCAACCTGGAAAGCAACCTTCTGTGAGGCCATCCTAGACTCCCAAAGAAAGTGATGTTCAGACGATGGTTTTGCTCTCTAATGATGCCACGCCATCTTGAATAGCCGATTGACAGCTTTGTTTCCTAAGGCTTGAGGATTGCATTCTAGGACAGTCATCCAGATGGGCTGCATGATCAACATCACAGTGAGCCTTCTCCGAAGCGCCAAGAGAAAACATGGATGATACAGAAAACATCAGGCCCCATGTCCCAACAATACTGAAGATAACCCACTGCCAACAAGAGATTTCACCGGTGACTGGGGCATATGTCAGTCACTCCTAAAGAGATGAGACACCTGTTTCCCAAAACTTCCCATTCTCATGTCTTTGGAACAGTCAACGCATGCAGCTATTAGTAGCTACATCGCTGTAGCAAAGGCGATCATCTGAGTCATTAAACACTGAGTAATGCCGATGTTCACCTGATAACAAATACTACATTCCTTGAATATGGCAAGGATAGGATGTGTATACATCAAAGGTGCTGTATAGAGGGGTAATTCCCAGAGATGCTTAAATTTCAAATCAAATCACCTTGCAGAAGCCAGCGAGAACATTTATTCAATATCAGCTATCAGATTTTCTGTGCTCAGATCTGTCTCTCTTTGAGTCCTTACTCAAGAAGAAACACGAAATCTTTTTTCAGTACGAATGGTGTACCATCAATAGTGCTTTATGAAATAACATAAAGGGTAAAGCGATGTTTTTCTGCAGCACAAAGTGGTCTTACAGGAAATGTGCAGCCAGTTGCATCCCCTGAGACCAGGTCTCCACCAGAGACGTCAAGTAAAGCCTATGACAGCAGCAACTAAGCCTTCTTGTCTCCTCGTCTGGGTATAAGAGCAATTTTAGTAGGCCAGACTTGGGTTTTTCTCCCAGAAATCTTTTATTCCTTTCCCTTTGAGTTTCTAAAGTAACAAACCCAGTTTTCATATATTTAGTACACCATGCCACTGGGCAGGACAGCCTCCAAAACAGGCAGGTGCGCAGGCAGTATAGATCATTTGTTCTGGAAAGAATTCAGAAGCATCTAACCCAGTCTTCTTATTTTACAGACAAGAAGTCTACAGCCTAGAAAGTCAGGGTTTCTCCAATACCTCCTTTCCATTTGGTCAGGAAATGCCTGTGATATGCTATGTGCATGTCATTGCAGTCCCCACAACATCTTGGGTTCTAGGAGTTTTGCTAAGTTTTTAGATTTAAAAAAAATGGGACCACAAAGGCTTGGAAGTTGTCGCTTAGTGACGTGACTGACCTTTCACCCTGGATCTTGGACTCCAGGTCCAGTGGTCTCTCTCTCTCTGACATAATGCTGGCTGATGTCAGAAATGTCACAACTCATAACCCAGGATATTTTAAAGTCTCTCTGCCAATAAGACAGAAGGACTTGACAATATGGCCATTAAATCATTTTGCCATAGCAAATTCAAAGACTTCCACTGCTTACAAGTGGCCCCTGGTTAGGGGCTTGGGCTGTGGGTGTTAGAGCTCCTGTCAGGCCTTCACCTTTAGGCTGTGAGCCTCTTTAGATGGGTTCTTCCTGCAACTCTGTTCCATTACATGAAGAATGGGAATAAATAGAGCACAGGGGCGTTCTTCGGTGAAAAGGTTCAAATCAAAGGGTGCAGCTGGTTGGAGGGTGTTCCTGGGGAAAGGGATGTTGCATATGCGTTCTCATCAGGTTTACAAAAGCACCAGACCCCCTACAGAACCAGGGACATGTCCACAGTGATGTTTCCAAAGTGCGGGTCTGCTCACATGCGTCCTCGCTTCTCCTTTGCCCTCAGGATGAAGTCCACACTCATTCACAGAGCATACCGAGCTCCAGTGATAGGACCCCTGGCTTCCTCTGTCCACATCTTTTCTTGACAACCTGACCCGCTGCTCTGCCTTCTTCACACATGCCCATCTGCTTTCCATTCTCACCCTCCCCGAACTTCCCCCTCACCTCTAGACCCTCGCACAAGCTGCTCCTTCCACCAGGGAAACTCTTCTCGACCTTCAGACCCAGCTCAGACATGATGCTCTCTGGAGCTGTGCCTGTGCCCTCAGCCCTGTGATGAAGGTACCTCGTGTGAGCCTACTATTCTCGCCATGCACAGCCCTTCTCGCACCGTAACAGAACAGCCTGTGTAATGTCCAGCTGCTGGCCTGTTGGAAGCTCCCAGCTCAGCCCAGTTCCCAATGCCAGGCTCGGTGCTTCACACACACTAGATGCACAAATGATTATGTCAAATAAATGATTGGATGAGTGTATAATAGGTGAATTAATGCTATGACTTGGTCTATAGCGGTTATACTAAGGTTGCCACAGCTGAAGGCAGCAAAGGGTGACTGGAGGTGTAGACCTGTCTTCCCATGTGATTTTTTTTGGAAGATGTCACAGAGTCAGTCCAGTGCAGCAACCTGTGTGGAACAGCCCACCCAGGGCACATACAGAATGACTATTTGCTGCATACGCGTGAGAGGCTCTGGGAGATCCCAGCCTGCTCTGAAGAATCATCAGCCAACCAAGGAGGTGACTCTAAATGTAAACGCACTGTCTTGTGTGCTACAGAATTTATTTCTCATTGGTGCTTAAATGAAACCAGAGACAGACAGAGGCTTAATGAACAAAGACTCTAGAGAGAGGCAGCCTGTCCATAGGTAAAATGAAATCACTCCTGATTACCAGTGGACAGCAGTTATGAGCTCCTGTACACAATTTTAAGGTAATCTTATAATTTAAAAAGGAAGAAGAAAGGCCACTTGAACTTAAAGGCAAGTGGCATCTGGCTCAGCTGTGATTAGAATCAAGCAACGTCCTTCTGGTGCTTGCGTGGCAGTGGCTTCCCTGGCTTCACAGAGGGTTAATTGTGAACCTTAGGGACGCCTAATGGCCCTGGTTATCCAAACCTTGATTCCAAGCGCAGGCTGCACGTTATGTTTTCTCTGCACATGCACAGACATATTAGAACGTGAAGCAGAAACGACAGGAGATGAGTACCTCCTCTCTCCTCAGAACTGTCCCAGGAGAGCTCCCCACTGCGACCTCCTCAGACCCCGGCTTTGCATTAGAGTTATTGTCCGGAGAGGAGATTCGGTTAGAGCCTCTGATTCATTTCTTATAGTGCTCTCTTGTTTATTTGTGCTGGCAGCTAACTTGTAAAATTTTATTATGATTTTTTTTTCTTGGTCTGTGTCATGGAAGGGATAAAAAGACCAATGATTCTATCATCAGTCCTAAATGCAGTTGTATAAATCCACACCAAGGCCGCGTGTCTACAGGGGAACCTCAGGATAACGGGTCATTCTGCTCCCGATGGTCATTCTGTGGGTTTAGATTTCGTGTTGCTAACAACGCAGAAGGCGGAGGGAGGTGGGTAAGCATAAGGCTCATGGCTGCCACTGGTGGAGTGGCCATGCTAATGTGAGTTTCAGATTTCATCCTCTTACCATACTGGTATTAGTGTGATCTTTATCAAACACAATGTGACCAAGTCACCGCCACCGCCAATTTGGTGATTCACCAAAATAACCGTGGCTCGCTGTAATTGCCACATTGAGTACTTCCCAAGATCCCCTGCCCCCAGCTTCAAGCTATATGCTCCCAAGACACTAAAACATATAAAGTACCCCTTGCAGGTTGGCGGTTTCATGACTCTGTGCCCTGTTTACGCTGTTCCCTCTCAGAGCATCCTCCACTGCCTCCCTCCGCGGCTTTTCCCCCAAGTGTTACTTTTTTATCCAGAGTTAACTCCCCAGACATCATCTCCACCAACCTAGTCCAGAAACACCCTACTGAACTCCATCAGTCTTTCGAAATAGTCCATTTGAGTATCTTTACCCCTTGCCAAACTGTATTTGAATTCACGATTCAGACCAGGATCCCTCCATCCTATTTCCAAAGCCCAATGCTGTGACCAGTGTATGGCAGGTATCCAATAGCTTCATCAGGCACTTCATGGTTTAGCCCCACATCATTTCCTCCAAGAAGGGATCCCACCCCTCAAGGCCTGGTGGCCTTTTGTCCAGAGTTAACTCCCCACACATCATCTCCACCAACCTAGTCCAAAAACGCCCTACCTCCTATTTGCCTGTGTAGCACACTATTTAATCACACTTGCAGAATTCATTGGTATTCCTTTAAATTTCCCACTTACTTGTTTATTCTCCCCGAGGAATCAGAAGCTTCTCAAGGGCAGAAAGTATATCTTCCTTGTGCATGCCCAGGGCCTAAAAGAAAATAGGAGCTTAGTAAAAACATGCCAAGTAAATAAATGAATGAACAAAGTATACAGAGAAAGAGCCCCTTTGATTAAGAACCTAGCAGATCTTTCTAGGGCCTCCAGTGACTCCCACTAGTTCTTTGAAGACCAAGACCCCACCAGCATTGCTTCCAAGACTGAAACAGATGGGAGAGAAGCCCTTCCGAGTAGGAGTGTCACACCCCTGCCCTGAACCTTCTGGAACGCCCAGAACACCATACTGTCAGAACACGATGACGGATAAAAACTGCAAAATTAAATTCAGGCTCATCTTGCAATTTTGTGTTTAGCCTTCTGTTGCCAACCTAGGAGGTGCCAATAAAACAGCTTGAGGATTTACAACTAATACCTTCCCTAAGACAGCATTGTCTTTTCGGCAGTCAGGACTCCACCAAATTGCTGCTTTGGTGCTGGGTGTGTTTAGGGGACTGGGAAGGGGTGGAGAAAGACAATGAGATTCATCTTTCAGCTGTCAGTCCCTTTTAGCTGGTTAGGTACAGTGGTTTTTGAGTTTTATGGTGGCTCCAAATGAGACAGATGGAAACATCCTAGTCCCAATGTATAGGATTGTATTGTCTTGGTTGGGGGTTCGTTTTAACAAAGGTTTCGTCCTCTCCTCTCCACTTAACCATGTCCATTCTTCTAGCCTGAGGAGAAAGTGGACCTACTGCCTTTTCAAGGAAGAAAAGTATCTCACCAAAGTCAGTGTTAGAGTGAAGTGTAGTTGATTTGGGCAATTCTCTCGAATATGCTGGAAGTCTCTATCTAAATCATGACTCTACAGAACCATCTTAATTAATGGCTGGGCTGTGTCAGTGGGGGATGGAGTTGGACTGTTTGAGGGCAGGATGAGCTCTGCTTTAACGCAGTTACAGAAGAAATGAACGGTACATGATAAAGACAGGGTTTCTGGCACCAGCTTGATCCGAACCTAGAATTTATACTTTTGCAAGTTGTTTTTCTCAAGTAAACTTTTTATTGAAATATAACAGATATAGAGTAATACACAAGAGTATAATTGTGCAGCTAAATGAATTTTCACAAACTGAACGCACATAGGTAAGTCCTACCCAGATAAATGAATGTTATAAGAAAATCAGAAGCCCTGCTCATGTGCCCCTTCATCGCTACGGAACTCGAAGGTTACCCTTACCCTGACGTATATGGCCATAGGTTGATTCTGCTTGCCTGTGAGTGACACAGTATGGAAACATACACTATGAACTCTCTTGTCTCTGGCTTCTTTTATTCCATGTGATATTTGTGAGGTTTGTCCATGTTCGTGGGTACCACCACTCCTTCTCAGTACTGGATGGTATCCCATTATGTTAATACACCACAATCAATGTATTTTTTCCATTTTGCTGGATACTGGGCTGCTTCAGTTTGAGGCTATTATAAAGAGTGCTTCTACAAACATTCCATGGACATGTGTTCCAGTGAACTTATGTGTGCATTTCTGAAAAAAGTGCTTAGGAGTGGAACTGCTAGGGGTCACAGCTTCTCTTACATTCAGCTTCAGATTGCCTAAATTTAAATCCACTGTCCAGTCTTTGGTCAAGCGATCTTAAACAAGTCATTTAAGATTTCCGAGCCCATTTCTCTCTATCAGTGAATGGGAAGATTTTATATTGCAAAGTTGTTTTAGGATAAGTTCAAGCTGTGTAAAGTCTCCAGCATAGTTCTGACATGTAAGTGGTCCTTTTCCTAAAGATGTTTAGTGCTCAGTAAATATTCCGTGTGCTCCCCGGTGTTGGTCGCAGGTCAGTTGGAACTCCATGATTTGAGGTCTGGCCAGTGGGGGTATGAGTGGAAACGTGGTGGGCTGCTTCTGGGCCCCTCAAACCACCCTCCACCTTGCTCTTCTCCTCTGCAGAACCCTGGAAAGCAAGTGTGGGTGGGACATCTCAAGAGGATAGAGTTCCCTAGGGTCCCCCGAGTGATTATGTGAAGCAGAAACTCCCCCAACTGGCACTGGACACAGAGCCTGAGCAAGAAAGATTTCTGCCGCTTTCAGTCACTGACATTTCTGGAGCACAGTTACAGCAGCACGTCACAGACCGCTGGGAGAGATGGTCCTCATGTGATGGGGGGCCAGAGGAACCATCAGAACTCCCCTTCAAAGAATGATCCAGACTCAACACAGACACTACATATCACTTCACTTCTGAATGGCAAGGAAATCTCTTGCTGTGACGAAAGGGGAAAAATTGAAAGTGATCTTTTGCTGGGATCTGTTAACTGAAGAATCTCTCTTCTCTGTTGGGAAACCAGACTGTAATTCCAAAATTGTGTCTGATGTACCCCCAACGCAGCTTTGCCTTCACAAAGAGAAGGCCCTTCGTGATTATTAGTTTAAAAAAATAAAATCCTCTCCCACCAGGTTCAAAGCCAGCCTCATTCTTTCGTTCCTATAAAGACTTTCTTTCTTCCTGTTCCCTGGTGTCTACATGGCCTATGAGCTTTCTCCTAATGATTAAACTCCTAAAAATACTACAAAGAATGCTTAATAAGGCTTTTGTGTTTTTCTGGTTGCTATGGGGACTGTTTAGTGTTGGATTTTAAGTACGTGTAAATATGTATTTTGGGCAGTGTTTAAAAACATGTATAATTTACCCGGCTGTAACAGCTACTTCAGTGTTACAGTTCAGCGTGATAAGGCATATGTGAAGCATTTTATAGTGTGTTATTTATAGTTATTTACTTAATGGCCTACAACAGTTCCTTCCATTGTATAAAGGAAATAGGCATTTACCCTGTTTTAACAATGAGTATCATTTACTCCATTGTAGCAATTGATAGTCTGCAGTCCTATGCAGGCCAGTGAATATGCAATTGGTATAATGTTGATGCAGGAACGGAAACCTTGTTGACAGAGAGTTACTAGGCGAACAAAGAGTCCCACTGATGGAGTCTCAAGCTCATTAGGGAAGTTGTTGACTGAGCTACTCTGGCACGATAGGAAACCCCTGGAAAGAGGCCACTCTCTACTTTGAAGTTACCCCCGGGGATGTACCCAAGGGTGAATAACACCGATAATAATAGCAACAACAGCTAATAGTTATTGAGCAAACTTAACTTGGCCACAGGCATGATGCTAAGTGTTTCATATTTAGGATCTTATTTAACCCTCACAACACAGTGACTCTAGAAGATGGTACTGTTATTATCTTTGTTGGAGAAGGAAACCGAGGCAACGAGGTTACACAGACTGACCAAAATATTCACACAGCAGGTAGATGGTTCTGGGGGTCAAATGCATGTATGTTTCACTCCAAAGCATGTGTTCTTTAGCACTGCACCACAACACGCATGGTCTGCCAGGGAATTCTTGAGCCACATAGAGGTTAGTCTTGCTCAGCAATATACCCTGGTCTGGAGCCCATGTGGATGTACACACACACATGTGCATGCGCGCATGCACACACACACACACGCACACACACACACACACAGTTTCCAAGCACAGAGAGTTCTTGGCAGGGGTCAATTCTATTTACCAAGGAGTAAGATGTGATCACAGCCACTGACCTTCTACCCTGTACACATCCACTACGCACGGCATCTTGTAAACCTCACCACCACGTCAGGGAGAGACCTCATCGCCCTCTCGGCTTAGATGAGGAAGCCGACTCCCAGGCTGGGCCTGTCCAGCGTCACATAGCCTGCATGCAGAAGAACCACCACTCAATCCCAGAGCAGGTATGATTCAAAAAGTCCTGCCATTATTCAAAAGCACAGGCATATGTAATGCACTGTTTCTCAACTGTGGGACAATTTTTCTCCGGCGGTACATCTGGTCATTCCTGAAGACATACTTGGTTGTCACAGCGGGGGGAATGCCACTAGGAACTAGTAGGTAGAAACCAGAATGTTCCTACTGTGTCACTAGACATCCTGCAATGTACATGATAGCCTCTCACAACAAAGAATCATTGGGCCCCAAATGCCAATAGTGTCAAAACTGAGAAAGCCTAACCTAATGTAATTAAATACAGTCCAAGAGGGACTGGGCAACATCATGTCATGTGAAATTAAACTGAAATAAAACTGATTGCTTTTTTTTAGCAGCTTAGGTAAAAAACGGATTTCAAGATTAAAGATTTAAAAACTTTAGTCAACTCATTATGGTAGACCCAGGGTTTTAGAAAGACACCTAAAATGTCCTCATATCCCAGAATATGTTCAAAGACTCTTGTAGTCAGGGTGGACCTTCCAGTGTCTGAGATGATAAGGTAGGAGGCTCTGAGCTTATTCAGATACAGGGAGAATCAAGAAAGAATCTTCAGCTGGACATGTAAGCTTGAGGCAGGCAGGAATTAGTCTGTGTAATCTACTGCAATATTTGTCTTTCCAATGATAATAGCTACCCCATGGTCCAAGCTTAAAGCCAGTCTCATTCTTCTGCTGACTGTGGAACACATGTTCTCAGTCATTCCATAACTGAGTGAGTGACTGGCTTCCAGCAGGAACTGGAATGGCTCCTGGGGAATCCACCCACCCTGGCTTTCTTCTCTCCCCTCTTCTCTTTTTATCCCTAATACTTTCACATTCATTGATTCAATCAGTCAGCAAACAAGCACCTACTGTGTAGGCATTCCTACTGGGATGCCCACTAGAACCTCGGCTGGGCTGGCATATAGTGTGGTTGCCATCTTCATTCCTAAGGAAAAAAACCTACATCACTTTGGCAAAATACATGTAAGCTCCGTAAGGACGTGACCTTCCCTGGCTTGTTCGGTGCTGTATCCTTGGGTATATGCTGCCCAAGGGCAGTGTCTGGCACATAGGAGATGCTCACTAGACATGTGCTGGCTAACTGAATAAATCACTGTATTTCTATGATGACGAAAACACTTAGAAGACAGGAATACAATTCCCTGCTTAGAAATCCAGGCTGCTTGGAAAACATAAACGTCAGGATGAAACTAATTCTGGACAAGTGTTGGTGTACATGGGGGCAGGCCCACCACAGGGAGGATGGAGAGGCATTACAGAAGAGGAAGGGGTCCCAGGAGGGGAGACACCTAACAGCTGCTCTGCTGGCTAGAGGCAGGGCCCACTCACTCTCATCACAGGGGCCCTGTGCTTTCACTATTTTAGCCATTTATACTTTGTGCCCTACTGTATCCA